CAAGTTCTTTTTCTTTGCCTTCTGGCTTCTGAGTAGTTACAGATTGCATTTTAAAGCTCTTCCCTACAACCTTCAGGGCTAAATAATGACTTTTAGAAACAAAATGAAAACTGACTTTTAAGTAAGCATATATCTCAGAGATAGAGTATTACATTTAAACACCATGGTCTTGAGATTTACAAAAAACTATCATTTAACAAATTGATTCAGAGATTATAATTCACATCTAAGTACCGTAAAAAGTTTTTACAATCTACTCTGGTTGGTTTTGAGTATCATAGGAAAACTGTAGATTTGCCATGGGCATTTTTGGATTTGCATACATAGATTATTAAAATGACTCTTACTGCGCTACAAAATCTACTAACTCTGTGTAACCTATCTCCACAAACATTATAATTTCTGGCGAAGTTTGCCAATCCCAGCATAAACTTCAAATCATAGCTATTTAACAACAGATGAGCTCTACAGGATTCTTCATGTAGGGCCAGACAGAAAGCCTTTTTCCCCTCAGGACTTATTTCTACCTATCACCAAAAAGATTAAAACTAATTCATTTTGCTTCTATTACAGTTTTTTAAAAAAAATAATCTTTATTGGCCAGTTAAAGGCCACTATACCTAAAAATATTAATTAGCCTTCAGAGGGAGTCATTGATGCCTTTACCATTAGTTTTTCAGGCTAAAGGTGGAACAGACACAATTAGCATCATTTGTTAAATGATAACTATCAAGTGGGTACCTAACTCCTACTATTCAAGGAAATTGGAAATAGATAAGATTATTTGCAGGAATTGCTGCATTGCAAGAAACTGAACAGATTAGTACAATGTAATATTTATTTTAGCAAAGAGCAGACTATGTCCTGAAGTTCTACTACAGCTTCTGGCCTGCTCAAACTGTTGCAACTTCATCCTTTGCCAATCTGACAAAAAAAAAAAAAAAAAAAAAGGTAATGTATGTCTTCTCACTAGCACACAAAGTAAATAGATTCAGTATTTTAGAACCAGCATCAAAGGAAAATCCTGATGACTGCTGCAGGCATTAAATAGTTGATTAAAGTTCCTGCCATGTTCAATTTCTATCATTGTAATTAATGAATTGAAAGGGATTGTATGAAAATGTTTTATGACATTCTTACTAGGTGGGCGTACTACTTCATCAGGAGAGTAACACTTTTGAGCAAAACTCATCTGTATATAAAAGCAGTTTCTCAAGTCTCCTGGTTGCATTTTAAGTCAGAGACATTGTTTTAATAAAATACCAGAAATGCTTCAAGAGGCAATTAGTCTGGCCTCCTTACTAAAGGATTTAACTTTTTATTTGCTCAGAGCTCTCTACTTTGGACCACTGTACTAGAATTCTTAGAGAGAAAGTAATAGTTAGAATACAAAACGCCTGTTAACCGAGTAGATGACTGCAGATGCACCTAAAATTAGACGAGATCTTAACCAGCACTACTGCTTATGTGGAAGCTTTACTAATAAGATACTCTTTCTAAACCTGTAAGCCACGCTCTATTCACTGCTCTGGTGTTAGCACACATCATGCTCAAATTAGCTTTACTGTAGGTAGGTTTGGGGGCTGCTGGTAAGGTAGTTGTGGTGTCACAGAACACAGTATGGAAAGTTTGGGTAGTAAACTAAGGCAAATGGCTCACGTTGAATGCGGTGCTGCCGTGAACCTACCACAAGCCATATCTAATCTATCCCTCCGCAACAATGAACTACCAGTGGAAAACTGCATTCATGACACAAACCTATCTATACAGTCATTATGAGAATTATTATAGTAAAATCTAGGCCTTGTATGATTCAATATTTATTTTATTGAAAACTGACACTTGAAGAAATCAACATATATTTCTGGTCATCAGCATTTATCACCAGTTATCATTTCTGTCCAATTCCAACCTCTCCCCTGCATCTCCAACCTCCACAACCTCAGCTGCCATCAATGTTAGGTTTCTGGCTTCCCTCGCAGGCGGAAACTGGTCCGAGACTATAACTAATACTTCTGAGTGAGAGGAGGAGTGCTGCAGACCCAGATTTGTAATAAAGAGGCTGAAACTGATTTCTTTAAAAAAAAAAAAAATATAACAAGTTACTTTGGAGGGAAACTGTTTTGGGACCCAGAAGACTGGGGTAGCACAAAACTGGTATTTGTTAACTAAAAATCATATTCTGTCAAGTCAAAGAAACACACTTGTAGACTTGTATGAACAGCATAGCTGAGCTACTTTCAAAGTAAAAAATAGCAGGAATCCACAGACAAAAACTCAGCAAAGGATGAGTTTGGGGAACAGATACAGAAGGCTTAGATTTAAGAAAACTTAAAACTTTCTAGACCACTCCCACTATCTGCAATTTAGGAATATAATACTCACTAGAGAATATTTTACAGAGAATAAATATTTTGAAGACATAGAAAAATAGTTCACAGCATCAAGGTACCTGTAATATATTACCTTGAAATAAAACTTGTATTTAAAAGATTAGAAAGAGAAGACTATTCTTGTAGTGGTATCAACTTTTCATTCATACAAATATTAAGCAGAGTATATCTGTTTTTTCGTATATTCACATTATTGCTTGCTACCACAACTGTACAAGGAACATATTCTTAACTTACATTAATGTTCATGTACAGTAATTTTAGATACCTAAAGCAAATGTAAAAATATGATTGAGTTGCAATTTAAAAAAAACCACACAGCTATGCGTGAAGATATGTACAACTAAGGTGTAAGTAGAAGAAACAAAATACAACTGGCCTGACCCGAGCATATATCATATATCCAGTTAAAAAAAGTCTTATGCTTATGCAGAAAATAATCTTTGTAAACCAAAATGAGCAGAAGCAAGGGTGCAATAAATAATCACCTAACACATTTAAACTTACACTGTTGCCCAGTGTACCCTGCTTTAATTATATTTAATACATGGCATCTGTATTTGCATCTGGAACTGTACTGTTCAAGGTTTCTTCAGTAACTTTTTTCTGCCTATGTGGCTTTAAAACAAAAACACCACAAACAAAAAAAAACCCTGAAAGGTCCTTATGGACAATAAGTTTTAGTAAAACAAGTCCTTCTGCACCCCTGTGTACAGGATCTGGTAAACAGTAGGAATAAAGCTGATAGATGGCATTAGCCTGAATTCAAACAGCTACATTATAAACTGCAATACTAATATATTTTTGTGATCTTGAGTTCTACTAACCAGATGCATGCAATTCTCTCAGCGATTCTTCTAGTCTGAGTAAAACAATTCTATTTTGCTGCCCTTTTTTTTTTTTAACCATTAAATTAGAACTTTTTCAGAACCAGCTGACAGGACTCCTTTATGAAAAGCACAGAGATTTCTACTAACGCAATGACATTTGGTTTCCAAAAAGCACAGTTTCAAAAAGAACTCTTATCTCCTTCTTTTGTTGGAAGAGGCTAGCCAATATCCCAAAAAGAAATAAAAATATTTACAATTGACTAGTCACTGACAAAAGTTTAGGAAGATCTTAGAAGGTACTTCAGCATGTAAATGAATGATTAAAAGGACTTACACAACGTACAGTCAATCAGTTGTGTCATTTTGGGATAAAAAAATACCTGCTCACTTGTATACCATTTTCAGCTGTGTATTTATAGTAATATATATATGTACACACGCGCGCGCACACATATAAAAGACTCTTTGAAAAATCAAGATACATTAATAAACAGAAGTAGTAAAAGTAACAATAACTTAAGTAGTAGTTAACATTTGCATGAAATGACTTTGCAGAGTTTGACCAAATGCACTTAGAACATGCTCTTTTTATAAAAAAAAAAAAAAACAAACAACAAAACAAAAAAGAATGAAAACACCACAAGATTCTGTAGAACCAATGCTATGTCACCACCAGGAGAGCACCAAGCAAGGCACCATTGGAAAGACAACATACTTGAATAAGTCTCTATAAATAAATCAAATGCTAATCTGGTCGAAAAATCGGTGTCTTTGGTAAAAATTCTATAAGGATGACCTGTATAAAAAGAAAAGAAATATATATTAAATGTCTATCACAATGATAACAATTTTTTTTTTGGTTAAAGTACATCAAGTCATGATGACAATCAAAGATCACAGTGTTTTTCTTAGATAGGAGATCATTAAAACAACTATACCAAATATGACTTTTCTAGAGTTCAAAAACCAAAACCCTTAAAGAATCAAATTCAATTGGAAAAGTTTGCCTACCAATACCTAACGCATCTAAACAAAATGAAATAAGCTGCTACATAATTCATTTATTGGGAAAAAAATATGAGAGAGAAACGTATTCAGTTAAATAAAAAAAAACAGAAGGCACAAGGTACGCAAAGTTAATTTTCAATTACACATGCAATTCCCTTTACTTCAAAATTGTTTCAATTTAATATAGGAATCTAAATCACGTTTGTAGTTCAAAACTTGTATAGAAAGGCTTGTCAACCTTTGCACAGTTCCCATATCTAACAAATCTGCAAGCAGTTAACAAGAAACTTGACTAATGCTTTTGCATGATTATTCTTATGGTCCCAATTCAAATTTAGACTATGTGTTTCTGAGCTGTGTACACATAGTAGGGTACACTCCAGAATACAATCCAAGTACCTATCCTGCTTTAAATAGAAAGCTTAAAGAAAATGTTCACTTGTGCATTTTCTTTCTTCGGAGAGACAGTCATAATACAGCAGCATGATTGCATTCATAAACAAATAAATGCATCCGGTAACATAACTAAGGATTTTACTGGTAAGGGGAGCTTGCCTTTCTAAGAAGTTACAAAAGAGCTTCTAAATGTTTTTGATTGTAAAGGAGAACACAACTTGGCTGCTCAGAGTACACACTTCTATCTCTTATAGCATATTGAACATCAGAAAAGAAACCAGTCTGATTTTATCTCTAAGGCAAACACTTGAAATAATGAGGATCAAAATCAGGTGTCCAAGTTTATTTTTAGAGATATTGAGAAGTGACTTCTGTTCAGAAGTGATGCAAACTGCTCAAAATCCATTGATCACTGACATGAGTCAACCACTGGATGCTTGAGATACCAGGGCTTCTGATATTCAGGCAAGGTTTCGAAAAGGGAGGAAGAAGTAAAGCTGGAATGCTGTGTTTATGCCAAAGGTGTAAGACTATCTGTCTTTATTTAATTTACTTAATTATTTATTTAATTTAGCATCTACAACAGTGGGTTTAGAACCTCAGGTTGGCAAAGCACCACATTTTGGGTACAAGAGTCTAATTTAAATCACCTGCTTTGAAAAAAAAATGAGGATAAATGTTTATCATTTAAAATTAAATCATTAAAACAACATTAATAGTAGCTTTCAAGACACTAGCAAATCAATTCAGTGAAAACAAAAGAATGGTACAGGGAAGTTTTGTAAAAATTTTCTCGTGACATATATCCAGATGTAATGTATCAGATGTTTCACAAACTGAAAATAAAATCTTTGATCTTTATCTTATAAAACTATATGCCCACGCTTACATATTATTAACGTAATCAGGTCAACTGATTTTAAATTGTATTTAACAGAATGAATGTTCATCTGTAAATGTTGCTTGGCCATAGTATTTACAAACTAGCATTGTATGGTTTTTTGTTGTTTTGTTTTGGTTTTTTTTTCAATTGAATCTGCAAAACATTCAACCTGACAATGTTTTCCTGTAGAAAAACAAAATTTTCACTGAAATAAAAACCATTTCATTCAGGTAAAGCTCAAATCTACTTTCTGAGATTTGCTTTATTCCCTTTTCAGTCACATCTCACACACCTAAACCAAGAAATTTTGTAGAATAGATGTTACAAAAAGTCTACTTATTCAGTGAACTGAATAGAGCCATTCTGTAAAAAATGCATTTTAAAGATCTTACGTTTCAGGCTAGAAACAAGATCTAATGTACAAACAGGAAAAAAAGGGAAGACTAAAAGAAAAAGAGTCTTTTAATATAATTTCTAACTATTTAACCACTTTTAAAAATTTTATATGCATGATAGTCTGTTCTTTGAAACAACAAAGCTAAGTACCATATAATGAAAGATCACAGATAAGTTAGAACTAATACAGTAGATATTTCTCAGAGGCTAATCTTTATTTTTAAAACGTTAACCCTTCCTATCACCTATTTCCTAGAGCATTAAAAGAAATTATGTAAATTCTACTGTTTCTTACGTTTTTAGGAGCTTAATTTCATCCCATTCTCTGTGCCTCCAAGATATTTTGAAAATGAAAATAAAAACAGCACCAAAAAAAAAAAGAGCAAGGAGATTGCAAGCTAAACAAACTGAAATCCCACACTGGAGATCATTCATTTTAAACCGCATATAACTTCTCACCGTATATTTCCAAAAAGGGCTTATGGAATCTCGGCCAAAGACTGAACTAAGTTAAAACTCCAGAGACTGACTTAAAAATATTTTAGTGACACCACTTGGAGATAAAGATACTTTCAAGACGGTTGAGGTAAGAGGCAGTTAAAACCTAAAAAGGCTAAAGGTTTCTTAAGCTCCAACAGCTTAGTTGAAAGGTCTTCTTCCATACTTTTAGACTTGATTAGCATTATATAAAACAGCCATATCTGACTTGCTGCGTAACCAAAGTTGTGGTTATTCTTTATACAGCACCTAAAATTTCACACTCCATCAGCACATGTTCAAGCTATTTTATCTTGGCAATTAATTTATTATTTTTCAGAACACAGTGAAGCCTTGTTTTCAAGTCATTCATAACTTTATAAATCAGTCCTGCACATGAAACCATGCATCTGTGAACCGTAGAAAATCCTTGCACTCAGGCGATTAAGCTCCTGACACCTTTACTGATTAATAATCATGAAAAGAATAAGATCAGAAGCAAAATAAATGATCATTTAATAGAGAAACTCACAAAACAGCCCTTTAACTTACATATTCCATCATGTTATTCGTTTCACATTTCCTTTTGCTTAGTCTCCAATGCAAGCACAGCTAGACAAGGAGGAAAGAAAAAGAAGAAAAATGAGCTGTATTTTATTGCAGCACACAGACTAGCCCATTTGTCCACCTTTCATATTTTTCGTTCAACAAAAGCATCTGTTTCCATACTGTGCAATTCAAACTCCAACAGTACGAAGCTGCTCCCTGCGGCACTCACCTTGTGGTATAACCTATTGTTTTCCCATTCTAATAACTTCTCAATCGATCTTCGTGTCTGGAAGACAAATGAGAAAGAATTTTACTCTTGACTGGTTTTAGAAAAACTTTGTTTTGCAGCTGCTTTTGTGTGAAAAGGAGAGAGGTAGAGGACAGTGACTGAGTACAGGGTGGTCTGTAGTACTACCAAAACTTGTCTGGTATTAAATAGTAACTAGAACAGAAATGACATTTTATGACACCCAAATAACTATCTTCAACCATTTTGGAACAAAAACTGTTCATATATATGCTTTCCAGTTCTTACAGCAGTTGTAACTTTAAAAGCACAGAAATTTTGACGCGATTTACGTATAAAAGCAGGAACACTGCTCCCCCAGTATCAGTGGTCTAAATGCACCACTTCTAAGAAAGTCGGCAGCTAAACTGACAAATGTTGCAAACTATTTTGCAATGCTGTAGGTCAAGTACAAATACGCAATACTCTAAACAAAGAGAATTTTTTTTTACTCTTATATCCAGATTTTAGAGACTGAAAACCAAATGCAGAAAGTTACAGTAAATTGCACAAATGAATCTTACTAAATCTGTGATTTGTAGGAAGAGCAAACCCAATACTTAGCATTCTAAAGCAGTTTTACTGCCTATGTCGTCCACACTTGATACTTCAGATAGAGAATCCTGAAAGCTGTTCTGCGCAGTTTTTTTTAAGATTATGCATGCTCGTATTAAAGGGCTTTCTGTGCTGTAAAGTTTCACAGCATTCTGAATATAATTATTCAGTTATATTTACATTTGAGAAATACATTCTGACATTTATGGTCATTTGACTGCCAGAATATATACTGCTTAGCTCTAAATGGGATTTGCTACTGACTATGAATAAAAAGAGGATAATTCATGGTGCCAGGTGTTAAGATGAGACCAACAGAGCTGCAGGTGCAAAAGGACGGAGCAATGACAAGGATCAAATACAACTTAGTGCAGCTGCAGCTTCCTTACAAGGCAGAGAGGGGTGAGGGGAAGGGATGAGAAAGCATCTTGCTGTTATTACTACAAAATACAAGTACTGTAAATGAACCTTAACAAATCAAACTAAATGCCGTCATGAGAACAAGAAGGTCTGAGTAAGATAAAAATTCAAAACCAAATTATTCCTTTCCCACCAAATACTAGCATCTGAGTTTTCAAACATCAGTTTCTCTCCAATACCGAAGCAGTTGTGGGGAAACACATCTAAGTATGTACTACGGTCACATGATTAAAATTAGATCATTGCTATCTATGAGTAATCATTACACTGAATTTTTCTTACGTTTTATTTTAAAAAGCACAAGTCACAGAATTATCAGAAGGTGGACGTACCAGTGACTAATTTATCACATCAATCGGGAATTGAGTATTTTGGGGGTTATTGTTATTATTATGTTTTTAGAGACATTGCCCTTTAACAATAATCAGTAGACCTCACTTGTTTCTTTGTAAAGATAGCCTTTTAGAGTCTGCTCTCCTTTTAAATGAAAATAGGGCAGCAGTTATGGTCACACTTTTGTTAATTTAGTTGCCAGTCAGCTCCAAATCAAAAGAAAATAAGGCTGCAGAGTGTAATTAACATTCAGTTCAGTCGTTTTGTCCCTTGTCTAGCCCCCAAGCTTTGTCAAAAG